CAGCAGCTGCACACAATAATACCAGTTACTGACAAATATAACAATCTGAAGCAGGTTAACAAATAGGGCTAGTTCAGATAAAATCAACCAAATCTGATAAAAAAAAAACCTCCTCAGAATCAGCTGGTCCTTCATCTACAGTAACTTTATTTAATGAAGCAAAGTTCTACCTTCATACTATGAACATTTCCAGAGTTACAGGTCCTTGAAGTCCATAGAGGAGGGTCCACATTTATCACTTTAATGGATTTTTTCCATCATTTCTGAGCCTCAGAACTTCATCAGTACAGCAGATAGACACATGACATTTTAGGATGAAAAACACATTTGAGTTCTGGTAAAAACTGCAACCAGATCAGTTTTACATCCATCCAGGTGTCACAGTCTGAACACTGAATCTGGTTTCTGTTCTGTTCTGAGCATCAATATTATGGGATGTATAATAGTTCATACAGTAAAACTGCAGCAGTTTAATGTGTATGACATAGCGTCATAGAAACAATCATTGGTACCCTGGATGTGTTTCTGTTTTCTGACAATTCACCAGAGAAAGCTTTAAAACGTGCATTCTGGATAAACGGGGCTGCAAGGTGGAGCAGCGGTTAGCACCGTTGCCTTGCAGCAAGAAAGTCGCCGGTTTGCATCCCGGTGAGGACACCCGGGATCTTTCGGTGTGGAGTTTGCATGTTCTCCCCGTGCAGCGTGGGTTCTCTCCGGGTTCTCCGGCTTCCTCCCACACAGTCCAAAAACATGTTCAGGTTAACGGTGATTCTAAATTGTCCGTAGGTGTGAATGTGAGTGTGCTTGGTTGTCTGTCTCTAAGTGTAGTCCTGTGATAGACTGGTGACCTGTCCAGGGTGTCCCCTGCCTTCACCCTGAGTCGGCTGGGATAGGCTCCAGCAACCCCGTGACCCTAGTGAGGATTAAGTGGTGTATAGATAATGGATGGATGGGTGCATTCTGGGTAAACTTTCAAGGCTCATGTCAGCATGTGTGATGGTGGTTGGTCAGAACAAGTTCTAGACAATGAAAGTATAATTTCACCTACATTTGATACCAGGATCATCGTTTGTAATTTGGAAATATTTTGACAAACAATTTAAAATTTGAGATTCTATTCACGAGGAATTAAAACCATGACAATGCTGCTGAATGGAGCACTTCACTTGTGAACAACATTCACAAACGTGATTTGTTGGCTTCTATATCACAGACACTAATCTGGACACCTGGATGGATGTAAAACTGATCTGGTTGCAGTTTTTACCAGAATTCACATATGTTTTTCCTCCTAAAATGTCATGCGTCTATCTGCTGTACTGATGAAGTTCTGAGGCTCAGAAATGATGGAAAAAGTCTTTTAAAGTGATAAATGTGGACCCTCCTCTATGGACTTCAAGNCTGTGATCTGACTGACAAAAAAAGATAAAATTAAATCTTACAAAATAAATCTTTTCACTCTGATGATGTTGAAGCGAAAGTGCCATTTAATTCAACTAAGATTTCCGTTAAGTCACTGCAGCTCTACAAAACAGACACCTGTGACGAACTGGAAAAGTACTCAGGTGATATTTCTGTAGTGACTGAGCACACCTCAGGAGATTTCTTGTGTTAAAAAATGAATAAAATGAATACAGTAAGAGACATAAGGCAGCAGGGGAAAAAAAGACTCCAGAGTTTAATTCTGTCTAAATCTGGCCATGCTGACTAAACCGCCATTTTGTCCAGGACGCACCAAATGGCCAGTTAAATGTTGTTTGTCTCTCTCGAAGTCAAACTCTTCTCAGAGCAGAGAAAGCAACCAAACTGCTCATGCTTGGTGCTAAGAGAGGAAGGATGTAGATTTCCAGAAAGACAGGAAACTGTTGAGCTCCATCAGACAAATGTTGAATGTTGTGAAACTTTCAAAACGAGCTGCTGCTTCGTCCTTCTGTGGACACACGGTTATTTCAGTTCAAGGTTGACTTTGCTTTAACTGGAGAATTCTGGGAAAGTGTGTGGCAGTAAAATGACATCAGGGCACAAAGTTTTACAGCAGTGTGACCTCGATTCGCTCCTGACCTGGTTCCGTTCCACATCCACACAATACACACAAACAGTGTGGCAATAAAGCGGATCTGGATTTATCCCAGCTACATTTAAAGTGCTACATAAAAAGTAAGAACTTGTGATGAACGAGGTCAGACGAAATAAAAACTTGACAATGGTGACAATATGTAAAAATAATCGTTAATGGTTCACAGAAATGTATCGTGTAAAATAAAACTTTTACAGCATTCAAACTGAGATCAAAAGTTTCTATAATGTGAGCAAAAGGCTATATTCTTCTGTGATTGAGGGACTCTGTTCCATAAATTGCAGGGGCCTCATTTATCATCAGTGCGTAGAAAAGGTTCTAAATTCTGTCATACGCATGAAATTTACAGTGTGCGCAAGTACAAAAAAAATCTGTATTTATCAAATGTGCATACAGGGGTCATACGCACATCAGTGTTGATAAATCCCACATGTTCTTAACCACCATGTACGTTGCCTTCAGAAACGCCTCCAAATCTCCATATACGGCAACAAAGGGCGAAAAAGAGGAACTTTTCCGCAACTGAGATTGAGGTACTTGTCAGCGAGGTTGAAGCAAACCAGAAAATATTGTTTGGTGCATGAAATGCTGGGATAAGCAGCAAAAGGAAAAATACTGCATGGGACAAGATAACCACTGCAGTTATTTCTGTTGAGTAAGAGGACGGACCGCCAGCAAAATTTTTGAAAAATGGTTTGACGTTAAGCTCAGTGCCAAAAAACGCATCACAGTCCATAAAAAAGAAATGACTGCGACGAAGTAATACCAAATGTTCACCCAGTGGATAACCCTGATCACTACAGATGAGATGCTGTAATAACTCGACTAAGTCCAGCTAAAACATTTTCACACTCTGTGACACTCACCAATAAGCCAGCCGTCTTCAGCAGCTCCTGCTTGGAGACCCACAGAACTGTTCTGATCAATGAATGAGTCGTGCGTTCCTCCAGGCCACCGGGCAACAACGTTGGATAGCAACAAATGTGCATCCCAAATTATTTGTATGTTAAATGAATGAAAACCTTTCCATCGATCCAATATCTATCCATCCATTTTCTATACACCGCTTAATCCTCACTAGGGTCGTGGGGGGGCTGGAGCCTATCCCAGCCGACTTAGGGCGAAGGCAGGGATGAAACCCTTTTCTATTTACAAAATTAAATTTATTTAGTGATGCTGCTTTGAATGCGATGTGGGTGCAGTCTATGGCTCCACTTATGTTTGGGAATCCAGCGATTGCATGAAGTCCCTGTTTGATTTGGGCTCGTTGGTGATGGCTGTAAGGGAACTGGATGTAGGCTGGGGTCAGGGGAGTTATGGCATTCAACACTGCCGGCTTGATCCTGCTCAGTGGTGGCTGGAAATGCCGCATATGTCTCCAACCTCACACTGGAATGTGTTGGTGGTCAAAATCCCTGAATGCTTTCTATTTGTAGTTTCACTATTCTACCGCGGGATTATGTGCATAAGCTTGGTCAGAGTTGTGTGTATATTAACGCACATTCCTAAGCACAAGTTGATAAATTCCATACTTTGCGTAGGAATGTTCATATGCACGCTCTACGCACATATCTGTGCGTATGCACTGATGATAAATGAGGCCCCATGTTTTATCTGTCTGTTGAAATGATGACATTTTGGTGACTTTTACATTAATGTTCCTCACAGCTGCATTCAGAGATGACATTTACAGAAAAGCATTGACGCCGAGTGAAGACAGAGAACATAAAAAGTCCATGCACATAGATTCTAAAACTTATTTAAGGTTTAATTACTGATGGTTGGGAGAATGACCGATGCTTTGCACTGCAATCATTTAAAATCATCAGAGAGCAGTTTATGCTGCCACCTCTGAAATATGCGACATGTACCAAGAATAAATGAGAAGATGTTAGGCTGAGACTCTAGTTTGCAGGACTTTCACTTTTTCTTGCACACACTAGATTAAACATCAAAAACACAACAAGAAAGTGCTGGTAGATGACTTCTGTGGTTATGTGAGAGGTATTTTTGCATCCTTAGTTTTATAAAGGGGGATTTAAAGGTCATATATAGTGACAATCCTTTTTCTTCTTGTGTTTAGTGGTTGTTCTCAACTTGGAAGTGCAAAATAAAAGTTGCTAAGATATGAAGCTACAACTAGACAGACTCCTGGGTTTAAGAGTTAATTTACTGAGTTACTGTTTCAACTGAGGAACCAGTCGTCCATCAATTTNTATCATCTACAATTAAGTTGTCTTTCTTGTGTGTCAACCGAAGACTACATTTTAGTAGAAAATATGGATCCATCCATATATATACACAATGTCACCTTCCTTTATTTCAAGGGCCAGTAATTAAACTCCGCTGGAGACATTCAATCACCAATCCATCCATCCATCCATCCATCCATCCATTATCTATACACCGCTTAATCCTCACTAGGGTCGCCGACTTAGGGCGAAGGCAGATGACACCCTGGACAAGTCACCAGTCTATCACAGGGCTACAGTTACAGACAGACAACCAAGCACACTCACATTCACACCTATGGACAATTTAGAATCACCAATTAACCTCAACATGTTTTTTTGGACTGTGTGGGAGGAAGCCGAAGAACCCAGAGAGAACCCACGCTGCACGGGGAGAACATGCAAACTCCACACAGAAAGATTCCGGTGCCTCCACCGGAACGCGAACCGGCGACCTTCTTGCTGCGAGGCAACAGTGCTACCAACTGCGCCACCCTGCAGCCCTGGATGGATCCATAGTTCTACTAAAATATAGTCTTTGTTTCAGCAACTTTTGAGGCTCTAACATCAAACGTTTTTGATGTGTGGAAAGTTTGGCAAGAAAAGGTTCCAGTTTTTAGATGTTTACTAAATGTTGATGTGGACTCATTGGTTGGAAACAAAAACTGGTGTTCATAGGTTCTGTTTGTTGGTTTTATACGTGCAGAGTTATGAACTGCTCCCATGTTGTCTTCATGTTGAAGCTTAAGAGTATGACCAAAGACCAACCGTATATATAAACTTACAGAAACTTTCTGAGGACATTATACCACCTTTGATAGAAAATTCTGCAGTTTTCTTCAATTTTCAAGAGACAATAATTAACATTTTGCTCTCTGCTGGAGCCACTAATTCAGCTGGAAACTATTCTGTCTGTGTCCTCACCAAATGTCATGTCTGTGTGAGTTATATTTCAGCAGATATTGGACCCTGTAAGTGGCTTCACAGGTATTCTTTGAGGGTGAAATCACAAAAACTCCCAAGTCTGAAAACATTAAATTCTTAGTTTTGGTTCCATAATAACAAGGAAGTAAACTCATAATAATAAAATATTAAACTGAAGTACATATTGGACAGCCTTATTCACAATGCATGACATTTACAGGCAGAGAAGCAGTAAAATGTTTGTGGAGGAAGTTTACTGAGCAAATGAAAGTCTGAACTTTGACTCGACGACACCATCTGCTGGTACAAAGAAAGAGATCCGGTTTTATTGCTAAAACAAAGAGCAAAACTTACAGCGATGGCCCACCAGTGACGCAGCTTACAGACGGCGTAGGCCAGGATCAGAATGGCAAACCTGAACAGGGCGAGCAGCTGAGGGAGGACAGGAAGGAGAAACACTGAAGAAATGAACAAAGCTGATCTTAAATATGATCCGTTTGTACAGGAGCAGAGAAAAAGTCTCACAAAGATGTCGAAGAAGGAGGCGTGGTAGTCATAGTGCAGGACTTCTATCTCCAGCTGCTTCTGAATGCCGCCGTTCACCTAGAAAACACAAACACAACACTGACCCTGTTAGTCTCTGTGACTAACACTTGATCTGAACTATATTCAATAAAGCATTACAGACGTGGAGCTCGAAAAAATTATGTTCTTCAGGAAACGTCTGTAATGAGTTTGTGTAGCCGAACACATTACTGCAGCATCCCTTCAATAGGAGCACAGCCTGAGAGGTTTATGGCTCCTTTGTCTCATCTCTGTGTATCAAAGTTACACATTTAAAAGTTTTTTTTTCATGAAAAAAATCCTTTTCTTCCTTCAAATGTCTCTTTCTAGGATGAGATCAGATCTATGAAGCGTTTGTCTCTTTCTCCACTCACACTCCATTCAAACACTCTAAAACTATTCTGCTCGACACAATGGACAGTTGAAATACTGGACTAATTCATGTTGAAACTGATCCTGAAGGTAAATGTCGATATAGAAAGTTTCATCCTGCAAGCTGACAGGATCGGTTCTTCAGGTTGGAACCTGGAAGTCTAAATCCGATTTATTTATTTATTTCAAAACAGGTCAAATTACTGCAACAGAAGTTGATTAAATTTGATTTCAGAGTTGTAAATTGCTCAAACACGCATCTCTTCATCAGAAGTTCATATTTATTGGGATTTACATGAAGCTTGTATTAATATCTACAGTATATTTGTAAGAAATCCTGCACATTTTCTGGTGTAATTTAAAGGGAAAAATCCAGCTTTTATTAGAAGTTTTAATTACAGGACTACGTTATCATCTAAAGGAACATGAGAAACCTGCTGAAAAACACTGCTGGAAACTGAATCAGCTGCAGGAACTTTCAAACATGCTGCCGCCGCTCAACTGGATTTAGTTGTTCAGCTGCATCATCAGCTCTAGTGGTAGCATCGGAATGAGAGGAATGAAATGCTGTTGAAACTGTTTGGATTTCTAAATTTATCCCTGGAATTCTCCTCCCCAACAACAATCATCTACCACGTGTTTATTGAGTCTTCATCTCAAGTTGAATTCTTATCTAGAGGTCCATCTTGCCCTCTGTGCCTTCTCTAATCATGTTTGTGCACAAAGAAAACTTACACTGTGAGAATAAAACCTACTTTTCATATTTAGTTGTTTGATTGGTTCATTGGGGGCTGCAAGGTGACTCGGTGGTTAGCACTAAAAGGTTGCTGGTTCGCGTCCCGGTGAGGACACCAAAAATCTTTCTGCATGGAGTTTTTGTTCTCCCTGTGCAGCGTGGGTTCTCCCCGGGTTCTCCCCGGGTTCTCCCTGGGTTCTCCTGCTTCCTCCCACACAGTCCAAAAACATGTTGAGGTTAACTGGTGAATCTAAATTGTCCGTGGGTGTGAATGCGAGTGTGCTTGGTTGTCTGTCTCCAAGTGTAGCTCTGTGATCTGACTGACAAAAAAAGATAAAATTAAATCTTACAAAATAAATCTTTTCACTCTGATGATGTTGAAGCGAAAGTGCCATTTAATTCAACTAAGATTTCCGTTAAGTCACTGCAGCTCTACAAAACAGACACCTGTGACGAACTGGAAAAGTACTCAGGTGATATTTCTGTAGTGACTGAGCACACCTCAGGAGATTTCTTGTGTTAAAAAATGAATAAAATGAATACAGTAAGAGACATAAGGCAGCAGGGGAAAAAAAGACTCCAGAGTTTAATTCTGTCTAAATCTGGCCATGCTGACTAAACCGCCATTTTGTCCAGGACGCACCAAATGGCCAGTTAAATGTTGTTTGTCTCTCTCGAAGTCAAACTCTTCTCAGAGCAGAGAAAGCAACCAAACTGCTCATGCTTGGTGCTAAGAGAGGAAGGATGTAGATTTCCAGAAAGACAGGAAACTGTTGAGCTCCATCAGACAAATGTTGAATGTTGTGAAACTTTCAAAACGAGCTGCTGCTTCGTCCTTCTGTGGACACACGGTTATTTCAGTTCAAGGTTGACTTTGCTTTAACTGGAGAATTCTGGGAAAGTGTGTGGCAGTAAAATGACATCAGGGCACAAAGTTTTACAGCAGTGTGACCTCGATTCGCTCCTGACCTGGTTCCGTTCCACATCGACACAATACACACAAACAGTGTGGCAATAAAGCGGATCTGGATTTATCCCAGCTACATTTAAAGTGCTACATAAAAAGTAAGAACTTGTGATGAACGAGGTCAGACGAAATAAAAACTTGACAATGGTGACAATATGTAAAAATAATCGTTAATGGTTCACAGAAATGTATCGTGTAAAATAAAACTTTTACAGCATTCAAACTGAGATCAAAAGTTACTATAATGTGAGCAAAAGGCAGAACTATATTCTTCTGTAATTGAGGGACTCTGTTCCATAAATTGCAGGGGCCTCATTTATCATCAGTGCGTAGAAAAGGTTCTAAATTCTGTCATACGCATGAAATTTAGAGTGTGCGCAAGTACAAAAAAAATCTGTATTTATCAAAGTGCATATGGGGGTCATACGCACATCAGTGTTGATAAATCCCACGTGTTCTTAACCACCATGTATGTTGCCTTCAGAAACGCCTCCAAATCTCCATATACGGCAACAAAGGGCGAAAAAGAGGAACTTTTCCGCAACTGAGATTGAGGTACTTGTCAGCGAGGTTGAAGCAAACCAGAAAATATTGTTTGGTGCATGAAATGCTGGGATAAGCAGCAAAAGGAAAAATACTGCATGGGACAAGATAACCACTGCAGTTATTTCTGTTGAGTAAGAGGACGGACCGCCAGCAAAATTTTTGAAAAATGGTTTGACGTTAAGCTCAGTGCCAAAAAACGCATCACAGTCCATAAAAAAGAAATGACTGCGACGAAGTAATACCAAATGTTCACCCAGTGGATAACCCTGATCACTACAGATGAGATGTTGTAATAACTCGACTAAGTCCAGCTAAAACATTTTCACACTCTGTGACACTCACCAATAAGCCAGCC